ATTTATCCAATCATTCTTAGACCTACTGGAAAGAGACGTTACTACGTTATAAGGAGCAAGGCCGAGACGAGGAGCCATATTTTATCGTTAAGCCTAATGAAGGTACGAGTTGTTTCCATTTTTATACGGTAGTTATTAACTCAGTGACTAATTCGTCACTGAAATTTACTTTTTCGTTTGATATTGAGTTATTGCTTCACGATTAAGATTTTATCGATGGTGCTGAGGAAGTTTGTTTAGGAGCGCAGGGTACCGGGATTTACTTAATTAACGATCTAAGTCAGATTAAAGATCCAACGATGGAACAACTCGTACAGGTACGTACAGTTTCTTTTCTAGAATTCAATGTATCATTTTTGATCTACAAGCATAAGTTTCTCTGTGTTCGATGTTGTATTGTTCCTAGAGGGACTGGATTTATTGCATTAAATTGGGCTAACGAGTATAGGGACAAATTAAAGAAATGAATTAATTTGTGGGAACAAGAAATATAAGAGGAAACCACAAGAAATCAACAGATAAGCCTTATGGATGTTTTGCGCGTAGAATTTTTTACCCATTCAAACAGGAGTATGTTTCGGATCCATTCCTCATGAAGGACCAACTGAAATTCGATTTTCGTGTCTATGGAGTGATTAAAAGCCTCAATCCTTTGTCAATATACGTGTCCAGAGAAGGTATGTCATCTTTTTAGTTGAAATTATACTTATGCTCCATTTTAAGGGTGTGGTCATCGACAAACTCCTTGGCTAACTGTTCAATGAATTTTTCAGATGTTATACTACCCTGAATAGACAGCTCTGCCGGTGCTTTCCACCACTAATGTAAAAATGCCATAGATGGCTATGGGTCAACTTTTACTTTCGAGATTTTATCAACGACATCTCATGTCTCCTTTAAAGTGTGCAATGGTTTTATGGAAATGTTACTTTAGTATTGGCATTATTTTACTGAAAAACAGTTTAGAATCAAAGAAATTTTCCAACTGATGGTATTGTTATAGCGCTTAAATATGCTCAGTTCGACTCTCTCCCCATGTTTCACGCCTTCCTTTTTCTTCCGCTTTTCTGTTTTCTATATCGTGAAGGTGGTTGGATAAATTTAGAAACAAATGGATTTTTTTACATAGGTATGGCTCGCTTTTGTACAATGAAATATGAAAAGCCGGCGCCGAGTAATTTCAACAACCTTTTTTCGCATCTTACGAACTATTCATTAAATAAAGCAAGCCAAACCTACGTTCACAGTAATTCAATCGAAGACCAAGTTACAGGTAGGAATTTGTACTTGTTATAACCAAAATATGGGTCACCGAGCACCCTGTTTTTTGTTGGCACTTTCACAGTTCAGTAGAGGTGCTGTCAATGCTTTCAATTCTATGATCGTCAGTTTTGTCGCATCCAAAATTTTCTGTAGCACTAAATAGTGCTTGTCACAAAATAAAGCAGACGATTCTTGCTAATCAGCAATTCTTTCCTGATTCTCTACACTAGGGTGGATGCTGCAATGAATTCCTATAATAGTGGAAAGCTTCTATCGTTTATTTAGCATTTAGCAATTCGCAGTTAGTTTTTAGGAAGCAAGCGCCTTCTTTCAACTGTGTTTTATCAAATGGGTGTATGTGGCATAAAAACTAAAAAACTTTGGCACGACGTGAAGCTCATAATCGTGAAAACTGTGCTGGCCATGGTTCCAGAATTAATGATTCATTACGAACATCAATTTCACCGCAAACGTGGACCACATTGCTTCCAGGTGCTTTTGGTTATTTCTTTTTTCTGGATGTGAAGTTGTGCCGAGGAAAAATTACGTTAGTGAAATGCATTTATAGAAATGACCATTCGAGAAAAGAGCGATTCCTACATGTAATGCTATCGAAGCTCACTATTTTTCTTAGTCCTATAGACGCCTTAAAAAGTGTTGCCACGAAAATCTGAAGGAAAGTGATTTAGATTTTCAGCGATTTTCATTGGTAGCAAGAGAAAGTGGTTAAGAACTATAAAGAGTTCTAAATGCTTTCTCACATAGTAAGTTGATTTGAAAATTGTTTTCGTGGTTATTCCGGTATTATACCTGTGCAAGTCGTTTCCAGGTGAGCCTATAACACATCGCACCGTTATCAGCTGTTACAATTCAACATCCATCATGCCTTCCAAGCGGCTTTTCTTAGAATATTTTCAACTACATGGAATTCCACCTACTGTTGTCACCTCTTCACACCAAGTTCTGACATTGGGCGCACGTTCTCGTTCATCACGACAGGACATATTTTATGGGGGTTTAAGCTACGGTGTGCCATTGATAGCTGTGACCACCTGTTCTGCTTCTGAGAATATTGTGATAGCGCTCTTTAGACAGTGCTTAAACTTCAGCGTTTCTCGCTAGGACGGTTGTTAAAATCTTTAGAGTAGTTCTTTTCCAACACCTCTGCGACATTTTTTTTCGTTTTCGTAGTTTCTTTTGTGGTACGTTTCCTCATCGGGCTTCATTGGCAGATTTGTGAGCTCAGGTGCAGTTGGACCTAGTTCTCACTTCCTCTTCTTGAGAAAGTTTTTGTGGATAAACAGATTTGTTATGAACCTTTTAATTCATGAACTGCATTATACTTGATATAATTTTTGTTCTTATTTTTATTTTTTGCTTTGATAAACAAGATTCTTAGGTTTTACTTGACCTTTCTTGAGCTGTCACTCATTTATAAAAGGAGCTGAATTCGCAGAATTCTTTTTTCGTAAACGATTTGCACTTTTCTTCTTTGATGATGGGAGGCGAAACTTTCCTGCACGCGGCGGTTGAACCCAAAGGATAATGATAGCATTAACGCAGTGTTAAGGAAACATCTCCTTTTGCTTGGAAGGATGAACTTGGTCTTCGCGAAAGCAGTGCCATTCGCAGATTTATACATCCGTATGCGATTTCATTTCCAAAACATAAATTTTCACTGAGTGGGTGTGCTGTAGGCCGGAGCCCGGCTAAACGCTTCCGTTTTTGCTTTTTCATCAAATAATGTTGGGAAACCTAATACAAGTATAGTTAAAGTGCTCTAAGGAGTATACGGACGAAAATGCGGTACTTCTAGGATTGGTTGGTTTTTTCCGGAGATTTAAATTTGCTCCACTTGGCGGTTGTGTAACATCTCCCATGTAAGCTATTGTTGAACTATAAACCAAAACTACAAACTCTGAACTTAAATATGTTAATTTACTCTATTTTCACTTTTGTCTGCATTCCTGTTAACATTTGAGATTGTTGGATTTGACATTATGGTCCGTGAGGACGGATCACCCGTACTTCTTGAAGTTAACGCGTCGCCGTCGTTGTCCATCGAGCATAGTCCACACAGCAACAGTCGCCAAAAGAGCATTGTAGACGAGGTTTAGCTATGAGCGCTTTTGTTCTACATTTTAGCTCTGTAACACTACATGTTGCATTAAGGTTATTAAAATTCCTCTTGTTCGCGACACACTACTCCTTGTTACAGGTCAATTACTTGAAGCAACGAAACCCGCAAGGTTAGCGTTCATTTACTGGAAATGGACCATTTAACTTTGATAGTGTTAAGTTTTGCATCTATTTTTGTACTGGTAGAACTGTTACCGTGCTCTCTTTAGCTCCACTGTTCGAAGAAGTTCGCGGTCGACAGACGATTTGAAAGTCCTAAAAATGGCTAAAAGACCTTACCTTAGTGAGGTAAAGTGTTTCATCTTTTTTCAAACACTTCGGATTTTTGAAGTTATGTTTTATGTTGTGTTTAAGATATTCCCTAATCGTTATGGCTGCGAAGTCGCAGATTTACTGTTTTTGGATCAGATGGTGTACATATTTATGCAGTACGCAAATCTTCGTCTGTCGACCACTATAGGTGTGCCGAGCCTGAAGCGCATAATTAAGTAAGTTTATTAGTTTGTTTTGTTGCTTCTTTCCTGCTATGAATTAGTAGTTTAGTTGTCATCGGAAAACACTAATCGTCTTTGTATTTACTGTGCTATTTTTTAGAGATTGCGGAATTCAGCTGTACTTCAATGGAAACGAAGTTGAAAGAAAGATTAAGGAAATAAGCGAATGTTTTAACTGCCATACGAATATTGAAGGTGAAGGTGTTTGTAGTCCCTTATTAACTGTCTAAGTGTTGCGGAATTTTCAAGAGGTATTTTACGTTTTCTTCCAGATCTCTCATTTCATGGCTTCGTCAGCTTCATGATTTTTCTTGCAAATCGTCGTTTTCATGGTGAGCCAACGTTACAGGATAGACTTACATGTTTGATAAAGACGTGCGTAAGTGCTCTTCGACACAAAGGAGTACGATCACGTCGCCTGCGTCGAGAAGAAGTACACGAAAAATCTGGAGGGTTGGTTTTATTTTATCTATGTTCGGATTTTCACTTTTTGAGTTCTTAAAACAATAAATGCTATCTTTTACATTACCTCCATCAGCTGTCGTCCTGCTGATTGTCCACTGACCCGAGCGGACGCCGATAAACCATCCACTTATCCTTGACGCGTTCGTGAGTATCCGTGTGTTCTCCTCGCTCTAAGGACTTGCTAAAGATCACATCTTTTTTCTGGTGTATTTCTGATAACCTCTGACCATGGCTCAGGTGGTCTTCTTTCTGCTCGTCTGACATCCAGAGAAATCCGGTTGATAACGGCCTTTGTCCATCGCTTGTCTCTCCTAAACATTACTTGCCCAGCTCAGCTTATCTTCGACAATTCGACAGATAGGACGGCATTTTTGATATTTTGTCGTCGACGTAAGTCAACGTTTGGAATTCTTCCTCTCCTTTGCATTATGAGGAAAACTCCTGGCATCGTCATTTCAACTACACGCTTTGTAACGCAATTTGTTCCTTCATCGTTCTTACATGACGAACAGATGTCTGACGCACACGTCAGGGCAGGAGGAATCATAGATCGGGATTGGGCATGGATTCAGATGTTTTTCAGACTTTCCACTCCATCTCTTGATAGCTTCTCAAGCTCCTCGATTCCTCATGTTCAACTCTGGGGCTAATTCGTTCATAATATTGATTTCAAGGGCTAGATACACGTAGATGGAGCACTCAAAAATACTACGCTGAGCATGAGCGAAGCATAGGAGGTCAATCCGTTCGTCATGAACATCGTTTTTCTGCTATTTTATCGAGGTCTACTCTTTCCACTAGCGCTTTTAAAGTAGGCTAGCATTCGTTCCGCCCGCCCAATCCTTGAAGTTATAAAAGCTATGTCATAAGCGAAGCGAAGATGGGATAATTGTCGACCATGAATTTTCACTTTCATGTTGCCCGATTTCGTTGTTTGCACGACGTGGCAGTAAAGAATTTTGGCAAAAAGTTATCGCTTTGCCTAACCCATCTCATTAACTCATCTCATTAAGTTACTATCGGTGTACAATGACGATATTTTGGAAGTGACTTTCTTATACAACTTACCAAGAATCTTTGTAAACCGAATAGAGATGCCCGGCTGTCCTGTGCATCCATTCATGGCTGCTTCATTCTCATTCGAATCAAAGGCTATTTCTTAACCGATAAAAGTGATAGAAAGCGGTTTCTTGTATTATCGCTATTCTTCAGTGAGCTTCATTATCGTGTGGATGTGGTCCATCGCATTGAATCCTTTTCAAAACCCTGCTTTGTCACATATGTCTGTTCATCAGACAGTTTCTGTCAGCCCTGTTTGGGATGATTCGAGTGAAGAGTGTATGGACGGCATGCAGAAAGCAGATTATTCAATGCTTGCAGATATCGTAGAGATCGCCCTTCTTGAACAATAACACGCTCTTGCTGTCTTCCATTGAGTAGCGACCTTGCATTCAGACATGTAACGTGTGAAGAGCCAAGCCAGTGTGTTTATGAGGACTGCTGGAGAATTCTTCATATGTTCAGTTCTTTTTATGTCCGGACCTGGTGTTCTATTCATCACCGACGAAATAGCATGTCGAATTTGGGAGGCGTGAGGCGGTGGTACGACATAACCATCTTTCTTTCAAGCAGTACTGGTGAGTGATTTACTTCATTGCCTTTCTGAAAGCTGTGACTGTTCCACCTTGAAGTCGGAGTGCAATTATCTTGGCTTTGTAATTAGCGAAGTTTCGGTGGGCTTTGCGAACTCTCTCCCCGGCCTCCACAGCCGTCAGCCATAATTGCTGCTCCTCTCTCTTTAAGATCTGATTTTATCGCCTGTCTTTAATGGTTTCCGTGTTTGGTTTTGAGCTGATGGTTGCCTACACGTTGTACGATTCCACGTTGGCGTAGCAGCTTGAGCGTGTCTGTAGACAGACGTCTCTTGGAGAATATCGATCTCTCTGCTTTCATGACGCTGATACTAGGATGTTGCGCTAGCCGGTCGTACTTCCCGTCGATTCTATCGTAAACTGCATTCAACCAACTAATTATCTGAACAGGTCTCAGTTTCAGTTTTTTTTTAGTTTTGCTACTTTATTTTTTGTTAACGACTTTCTGTTTTTTTCGCTAGAAGTGGAATCTTGCACAAAGAAGGAGACTGTCTGCTCTCGTGCAGACATATCGGGTAACAGCGACATCGGTTGGGCAAAGCCTTCGGTATGCTACTATGTGGTCTATTTCGCTATGCTATTTTCCACTGGGAGACTCCCATGTTCGACGTCCAGAGATGGGCTTCTGCAATGCGAGTCACCATAGATGGCCTTGCTGAATGAATCAAAATCTGAACGTGGAGGCAGGGTATACTCACGGGTAACTTGCTAGCCTGTCCTAGAGTAGATGGAGATTACTTCTTGGAAGTGACTCTTAACTGCCTCCCGTACACTTCCCTGTCACTCGATAGCAAGATTTTGATTGAATTGACTCGTGGAATACAATCCGCACAAACGGGAACACACCTGTGCACGAATGCGTGAATACGTACTGGTTGAAACAGAACGCATATGCTAAGTCGGTGCAGCAGGGACGGCCAGTCTAACGTTGGATCCATGCCTATCTTAGGAAAGCTTAAAGTCGCTTTTGGTTCGCTATCAACCTAGTGTCCTCGACAAGACGACGCGCCACGTTACCTGGGTAACCGGTGATCCCTTCATGAAAGAAATGAGTTTCTATTTTGAATATTTTAATAAAACTACTAATGTCGCAGTTCTGATTTCGAGATCATCATATTAACAGTACTATGTTGATTTTTGAAGAGCGCGTGTGGTGCAGTGGTCGGAGAAGCCCTGCAACATAGGGAGTGGAATCGATCCCTGCGCCCACGGCCCACCAAGCTCTCTATCTCTAAGGGTTCGGTAAATTGGTACCAGACTTGTCTGGGAGGATAGCAGCACGAGCTCGATATATCGGTAGGCCACCGCGATTCACTGTAAAGGCCAGAAATGGATTCATTCAGCTCCAAACGATGCTTAATGAAGTCGAATGCATGGCGCATCCCGTAGGGGTCAACCAACTCCGAGAGCTTTAGCTTTTTTATATTGATTTAAGAAGGATAAACGCTAGAAAAATAGGGTTCCTATAAACGAGCGTGAAATGCTCCGATAAAGGAAGGAAGAAAAGTTCTGGAATGAAGTGGTAATGTTAGTGTGCATAGTTTAAAACGTGTTCAATATCCACTTTATAGTGCAGTAACTGATTAATAACCATTGCTAAAATAAGCTTTAAACCTCAAAATTTATAGCTTCCACTTTTATGTTCCTAGGAAGAGATTCTTTCGTCATTGGTTATGTTTCAGAGCAAAAAAGATATATCTGCTTCCAAGTCGGACCAACAAACGACGGTCGAAGTCCTGCGAACCGACAAAAGTTAGTTTCCGCTTTTGTTTTCAAGCGCTTGGATGTCCTACCTGGATTGACACTGTTCAGATTGGCCAACAAAACATGGATCGTAACGCGGATCGAAATAACAACAACAAGTGCAACGTTAGGTTTCCTCAGATCTTTCAAAAATAAATCGCTTTATTCTTTCGCATAGAACGACAAAGAAGATTGGGTGTACTTAATATGTTGAGGCAACTTCTCCACCAGATTTTTGCAGAACTTGACCTTGTCACTTTAAATAAACTTTGATGCTGTGATCAGTAAAGAACACGGTTTTTATCGGGTGTAATTCGTTATGAATTACGAAATTGAGGTGATAACCATCTCTTATTGTTCACGACTGCTGTTTTTATCGCCGCAAATTGTTTCATAAAGCAGTGCGGCGAAGTGATGCTCCAGGATGTAGGGTTGCAAATCAATGCTAGATTTATTCTTTGGGTACGCTTGTCAGAGTCCATTGTTCTCGAAAGTTAAGTAGCTCTGCTATGTGGTAGCACCAAAGTAGTAGGATTAAGAAGTAACGGTCCTCACGAAATGTATTCTTAATGGAAATATGAGAATAGGAAAGGAAATCATGTTATCCCATTATCGTTATCATGAAAATCTAGTGTTGCGATTGGGCAGCCGAGCGCAAAACTATAATCACAATGTTGCCGAGTTATTTCGAAAACTCTGGACCGCAGGTGTCTCCAGTGGTGTCGCACTCGCTATTATCCTTTCTGGGGGCAACGCGTTTACCGCCATATCATGCGGTTTCCTCGTTTCTCCTTTCTCTCAGCCGTGTTAAAACAAAACCTATGGTTAACAACTGGGCTGAGTGAAGGGTGAAACGAAGAACCCATGTGGTGTGGTCGTAAACGCGTTGGCCTCCGGAAAGTGTAATAGCGAGTTTCATCTTCACTGCAGACACCTTCAGTCCGGCGTTTTGCAAATGTCTCAGCAAAACTGTGGTTATAATTCACATCATATCCTGCCATGAAAAAGAATAGGCAGTAAATAAATAGTAATTGCACTGTGATTTAAACACTAGGCAATTTCGTCAGAGCTTCATTGCTTTTCTCGAAGTAATCAAGCCAGCCATATTTATAACCAGCTAGTTTGTACTGTGTAAAATCGCACTTCTCGGATTTTGACAAAGGTTTCTTGCCACGGTCAGTCTATCGCCTGTAAGTGGTTTTGCATTTCCATTTCGATGCAAACTCCATCGCAACGTCTCATACCATGTATATCTGGTTCCAATCGCTTTATTATTGAATGTAGAAGAGCATTCCTTCACTCTTATGGCAGCATCGAATGCTTGCACGAGGGCGACAACAATCAGATCCAGTGCACAATTGTGGCACTTTCGAGGTGTCAATGAAATAACATCTCCTTTTTGTGAGGGTGTTGTCAATTCCTGCATGCGGAAGGGGCTATACCGGGTTCGATCCCCACCGCAGACAACTGTAGTCCGGAAATTCGCAAATACGTCAACATCGTTGTGATTATATTCATAAGGATTGTTTCCATTCTTATTCTGACCTCCTATGGCTGATTTCCATTCCTGTGTACGTTTTCGCCGACTTTTTTCGACAACGTATTGAACACGTAAGCAACTAATTTCTAGGAAGACTTTTCG